TATGATTCTTGATATGGCACGAACACTAGCCAATTGGTTTAAAATGCAAGTCACCGATTTTTTCAATAAATTTACTCGTCAGAGAGTCATATTTTTTTCACTAGATCACTATAAAAAAAAAAAATTTACAATCCAACGAAATCCAACGAAATTTTTCGTTGGAATTCCTTATATTTTCCGTTGGAATTCTTTATATTTTCCGTTGGAATAGCTATTCCAACGGATATTTTTACGTATAAAAATTTGTGGGAAAAACGGCCGGAAAATCTTATGGAAATAAATTCCTACAACCAGGGGCGGACGCAGACCTTAAAGACAACGGGGGCACAAATTACAGTCAACGTCGAATATCAACGGTCACATTAGTATTTAACTAATTAAAAAAAAAAAAAATCTTGACCAAACACCTTGTTTTTTTTTAATCGCTAAGATTGAGTCTCACATACTCATTTTAAGAATATAGACACATTTGAACCAATCCCTATATAGTATATAGATTTATGTATAATACTTGTTATTTTATGTATTTTGGGAGAGAAACTGAAATAAACAATAAGTTGAGTATAGCATAAACATAAATTCCACAACTTATAAAATAACATACTATTGAAGGTTAATAATTAATTCTAAACATTTCTCATTTTTATTTTTTATATTGAAATAACTTTACATAATAATTACCAAGGAAATAAATAGCTCGCTAAAGTTGCCGCTATTTGAGAAATAGCTTTTTTTGGCAGCGTGCCGCTATTTGTATTCATGTGCAATTTAGCCGCTTAATCCCGCTAAATCTCCGCTGTAACTCCGCTATAGCTACAGTGCCATAAACGTTTTAGCCCGCTATTTAAAACCTTGATAATTACTAACATGTATTCATGTATGTCTATATAATAATACATTTTTTCATATAACATATATATACTATATTACTAAAAAAGTGCTATAGGGGCCCGTGCCCCTAGGGGCCCCTATGTAAATCCGCCCCTGCCTACAACTATTCCAACGGAAAAGATCTGTTGAAATTCCTCAACCATCCAACACTTATTCCAACATAAAATTAAGATTGTTGGAATATTCATTAGAATTTCCAATGAAAATTTTTGCCGTTGGAATTTTTCTTTAGAATTGAAGTGTTTTTTTGTAGTGGATATGAAAGTTTTCAAACTGTAATGTCATACTAAAAAATCAAACATAAACAATAGATGATATTTCAACACATAAATGTACATTTTTTGTTAAAATTTTTAAGGACCGACTCCTCTAACGGCTAAGCAGCCTCGTATCGATGTGACCAATTGCCCGGCTGCGATCCGGCCTGGCTCGGCCAGCCGGGCCTGCACGCCTCAATCTCATAGCTAGTGCTGTTAAATTAAACGAGCCTGGCTCGGCTCG